GCCAGAATACCAAGATGAGAGCAGCCCTCACAGTTGAGAAGCGAGTGGCGATAGCCCTGTGGAAGCCTGCAACACCAGACAGCTACCGGTCAGTCGGGAATCAATTTGGAATGGGCAAATCTACTGTGGGGGCTGTTGTGATGCAAGTAGCCAAAGCAATCACTGAGCTGCTGCTACCAAAGATAGTGATTCTGGGAAATGTGCAGATCATAGCGGATGGTTTTGCTGCAATGGGATTCCCTAACTGTAGTGGGGCGATAGATGGAACCCATATCCCTATCTTGGCACCGGACTGTCTTTTTGTTCTGTGTTTGTACAGCACCGAGCACAATGGGGTCTTGGTCCAGGACTGGTGCTCCTACGAGTTATAGTATTATAAACAAAATATTAATAGCCAGAAAAATCATAATGATTAATAAAATGCATGCATGGCCTGCTGTTGCAGCAGTGTGCCTAGTGGCAGTCATATTGACGAGTGCTCCTTTCTCCTTAGGATACCATTCTTTAGTTATTGATGTTTGGAATAAGCTCGTTTAAAAAAAGTATGACCATTATAAACGATGGCCCAAATTCTGCTCTTGGTTACACCAATGTAACTCCATTAACTTCCACTAAGCCAAAGTTACACTGGTATATCTGACAGCAGATTTTCACCCTTTATCTTTACAAGCAAATGTGGCTCCTCTATGTTTAACTATTCACATCACATTATAGAGATCCCAAATCTCAAGCATATATCTACATCTTGCTGCTGTATGTTGTCCCAGAAATGAACTGCTCTTCCTAAATGTACTTCTCTGGCCTGTTGCCTTCTGATCCTCCAAAAAAACAGCTTCACACCTAAACTGCTGGATTGTCTTTGAATGAGAGATAAGGCCACAATTCTGAGCATCTATGATCATTAATAACTCCATGGCACTTTTTAAAAGAGGTAGAATGTCAATCTTAGTGTCCTAGACAAATTCTAGCGCAAGTAATTACAATCTGCCACTTTATTTCCCCTTGCAGATTCAGTTGGATGCAGGACACCCCGTCAATTCATGTCCAAAAATTTTTAATATTTGATTATTACTTTTACAACCACAGTACCTAGAGCTCCAGCCAAGACCGGACCCCATTGTGCTAGGTGCTGTACAAACACATAGTAAGGAGACAGTCTCTGCCCTGAAGAACTAATAGAAATGTTTTCTTTTTTTGATTAAATAGGATCCAGTTCTATGAAAGTGCATGACCCTGCAGTTCTTACTTAGGCAAAACTCCCATCAAGGCGAAAGAGTTTTACCTGAGCAAGGAGGATCATAGGAGCAGGTGCAAAATTATAGGTATATCAACATTTTAAATTACAGTTGTCTAAAAGAACAAAGAAGCTTGGGTGATTTGGTCCTTTTGAGAAGGTCTTGAATACACTGAAAAGCACCAAAATACCATGAAACCAATACTTTCAGGAATTTCACAGCAATGCCAAGAAACAGAATGTACTCATTGTGACTAATACATTAAAATACTGAAAATAAATTCTAACAGATTAAACAAGTCTTGTAGCAACTGAAAGGTATAGTTAAATCATTCCAAAACTACTCAAGCTTAAGAGGATGGCAATCTTCCCTATTATTAATAAGAACATAAGCTGGATAAGTAGACTGGGAAACCTATAAATTATAGTCAATATCAGTAAGTAGAATATTGTTTAAAAATATGTTTTTAATTAAAAATGATGTGACAGCCAGCCACTTTTACTGAATCAATTCCCTGCACATGCTGGAGTTTTAGACCTCTTCTGTGTTCTCCAGCACACTTTCCAATTGACTGTCATTAAACTATGGGGAAATTGGAATATGCCTTTAATTGCAAAATCCAGACCAAAAGAATAATGAAAATCCCCTTATGCATTTTATATATTTACATTTTTGAAACATAAAACAATATTTTAAATCCTTGATCATTTAATCCTGTGCTTTGAGGTCAGGAAATACCTACTATTTGTGCCAAATTGGGCTCCAATTATATGTGAAAATTGTCATGTGCAGAGGGTAAAGCGGGTAACAGGAAGCATTTCATGTTACCTTCAACCCTGAGTGTAGCTTTTAAAATAAATAACCAAATGTGTTTCCATGGAAATCTTCTGGGGGGGAAAAAGCTAGAATCTGTTAAAATGGGGCTAAATATCATTTGTAAAAATAAATCTCTCTCCTAATTTCAAATATAATCTCCTTAAACTGTATACAGGATGCCCAAAATTGAACTGCTTTCCATGACTCTTATCCACCATTTGTAAGGAACACAGCTAAGCTGATTACAGTATTTTCAATTTCATTTTGTGTCGAGCACATAAAATTAGGCTATTATTGCTGCATTAAAAATCTTACATAAAGTACCATCCCAGTTGCTTTCATTTCTATAGATAGGTTTTATTACCTGACTCCACAGTACATTAATAAACCCCATGATAACACCCTTTCAATAAGGTTGATAATGATTAAAATATAAAATGCTATAGCATATTAAAGTACATTTTAATTACATTTTGGGAAAATTCTAAATATTTAAATTATCAATCACCTCTGTTTTCAGGCCATTAGTATAATTATTAGTCACCAACACTAATAAATTAAAACTGAGAAGTAGCTTGCCAAACTTTTGCTTTCATTTTCAATGAGCTTCTATTCTTAAAACTGACCAGAAATAGAGCAAAAACCTGCTAGTGCAACATAAAGCAAAGATCTCTTCTTGCAGAATAACTCAGACTCGTTACACAATGTGATAAACTGTTTTAAATAACCTGCCATGGCAGGTAAAACAACTGCTTTCATAAGAGTGATGTACAATATTAGTTAACAATTAGGTGTAAAGGTGCTGTGTAACGATAATGCAACATAAAATGCAATACCATCTTCTCGTTCTTTGTTATTTTACGTCATATCAAAAGCTATAACCTCAAAATCTATTACCATGTTTGAACTGGAAAAAATTATATACATATTAAAATTTACATTTAAAATATAATCAGTACTCTTATGCTAGTTCACTGGCAATTAACTGCATGTTAAATTTCCAAAAAATATTTGGTTTGCTTATGTATTAGGTAAACAGTCTATCCTCTAAATCCTGTAGAAAATCCCACAATAAACAGTAACACAAACTAATATAGCCTACCACTGAAAAACAAACACTAGGCTAGAAATTAGTACTGTATAAATCATGAGGTCATACCTGATGACTTATAGATTGGAATGGCTCACCGGTTCCAAGCTGCATGACCTTCCTATTTCCAGAAACCCCCAAATATTCCATTTCCTATCTTATAAAAGAACATTACATAGCCATCTCTCTGTCAGCATCTTGTAGGCTAGTGAAGAAAGCATCAACAGCCGATCTGCCCATCAATAACTGCTGAAGTCATTGCCATCAAGAAATTAGATCTTAAATATAGTTTCCTCTGTGCGATCAAAGGCATCCAGTATTCAAGGAGACTGAAACAGCTATATCACTGATGCTGCTAATGCTATCTGAAAACAGTAAGCTTACTGCTTAAAGCAATCCTGCATCATCCAAACAGAGCAAGCCACATCCTTCACCTCTTCACTTGCGTTACTATAAAAACTAGAGTGCCATTATGGATTTTGTTTTTATATCTGGTCAGCTAAAGGAGACCGATATTATGCAACCCAGTTTGCATTAGCAAACAGCAAATGTGACATATCCAGGTTATGAAATTTTATTTGCATGACCACTTCTCAACAAGCAATATTGCTATCCAGAAGAAGCATCAAAATGTGATCCAAGGGAAAATTACCAGAAAGATCATAAACAATTCCAAAGCAGCAAAGCATTTAAATACCTATATGGCACTTAAACAGCTTTTTAATACAAATTTACAAATCTCAGTCCTTATTAAATGAAAAATATTGCTTGCTTAAATAATTTTTGTGTTTCTTTTCAAGAATTTGCATGCTCACTGCATTGTTAACATGTTAACAGCTCTGAAAACAGCATGCCTTGAAAACATGCCAGTATTAGGACAGTAAAAATGTGTTTTGATACCAAACAAAACAATCATGTATCTGTATTTGTTTAGTTCCTATAAACCTTTCAAGACAGCAAGACTTACAATGCCCTTTCAGTAATTTTAAATTGTTTTATTTACAATACACAATAGTATTCTAACTATATAATACAAATATTTTAGTTATTTTATACCAGTGCACAGCAGGACAGTTATAAAACAATTATTGTTAGATTAACATTAAGACGGATACTGAGCTAGAACAATGATACATGGACAAAATGTCATTTCTCAGAATTAAGGCTGTCGATTAGTCGCAGTTAACTCATGCCATTAACTCAAAAAAATTAATCGTGATTAATCGCACTGTTAAACAATAGAATACCAATTGAAATGTATTAAATATTTTGGATGTTATTCTACATTTTAAAATATATTGATTTCTATTACAACATAGAATACAAAGTGTACAGTTCTCACTTTATATTATTGTTTTTATTACAAATATTTGCACTGTAAAAATGATAAACAAAAGAAATACTATTTTTCAATTCACCTAATACGAGTACTGTAGTGCAATCTCTTTATCATGAAAGTGTAACTTACAAATGTAGTTTTTTTGTTACATAACTGCACTCAAAAACAAAACAATGTAAAACTTTAGAGCAGGGGTGGGCAAACATTTTGGCCCGAAGGCCACATTGGGGTTGCGAAACAGTATGGAGGGTCAGGTAGGGAAAGCTGTGCCTCCCCAAACAGCCTGCCCCCCGCCTCCTATCCACTCCCTCCCACTTCCCGCCCCCGACTGCCCCCCTCAGAATCCACCACCCATCCAACTCCCCCTGCTCCTTGTCCCCTGACCCTCCCGGGACCCCCCGCCCCTAACCTCTGGGACCCCACTTCCTATCCAACCCCCTCTGCTCCTTGTCTCCTGAACGCCCACTCCCGGGACCCCACCTCCTATCCAACCCCCCTGCTCACTGTCTCCTGACCACCACCCCCCCCAGAACCTCCGCCCAATCCAACCGCACCCTGTCCCCTGACTGCCCCCCGGGACCTCCCCCCGTCTCCCCACCCCCTTACAATGCTGCTCAGAGCAGCAGGATAGGCTTATTGGAAAGTCTGGGAGGTGGGCAGACGCACACTGTGCTGTCCGCGCAGCGGCGTGGCTGCAGGGGAGGGAGGACAGCAGGGGAGAGGCCGGGGGCTAGCTTCCCCTGCCGGGAGCTCAAAGGCCATGCAGGACCCACCTCTGCTTTAGAGCCTACAAGTCCATTCAGTCCTACTTCTTGTTCAGCCAGTTGCTAAGACAAACAAGTTTGTCTACATTTAGCAGGGAGATACTGCTGACTGCTTCTTATTTACAATGTTACCTGAAAGTGAGAACAGGCATTCACAGGGCACTTTTATAGCCGGCGTTGCAAGGCATTTACGTGCCAAATGCGCTAAAGATTCATATGTCCCTTCATTCCAGAGGACATGCTGCCATGCTGATGATGCTCATTAAAAAAAAGATGTTAATTAAATTTGTGACTGAACTCCTTGGGGGAAGAATTGTTCTTCCTATTCTGTTTTACACACATTCTCCCTTGTATTTCATGTTATAGCCGTCTCGAATGATGACCCAGCACAAGTTCATTTTAAGAACACTTTCACAGCAGATTTGACAAAACACAAAGAAGGTACCAATGTGAGATTTCTAAGAGTCGATATAGCACTCAACCCAAGGTTTAAAATCTGAAGTGCCTTCCAAAATCTGAGATGGACAAGGGGTAGAGAATGTTTTCAGATGTCTTAAAAGAGCAACATTCCGATGTGGAAACTACAAATCCTGAACCACCGAAAAAGAAAATCAACCTTCTGCTGGTGGCATCTGATTAAGATGATGAAAATGAATATGCATCAGTCCACTCTGCTTTGGATCATTATCAAGCAGAACCTGTCATCAGCATGGACACATGACTTCTGGAATGGTGGTTGAAGCATGAAGGACATATGAATCATTAGCGCATCTGGCACGTAAATATCTTGCAATGCCGGCTACAACAGTGCCATGGGAAAGCCTGTTCTCGCTTTCAGCTGACATTGTAAACAAGACATGGGCAGCATTATCTCCTGCAAATTGTAACCAAACTTGTTTGTCTGAGCGATTGGCTGAAGTAGGACTGAGTGGACTTGTAGTTCTAAAGTTTTACATTGTTTTATTTTTTAATGCAGTTATTTTTGTTCATAATTCTGCATTAGTA